AAGGGACTTCACCTGTACAGACTCTGCCAGGCAACTCCATCCATTGTAAATAATATTTTAATTTAAGATAGAAAATATAGACACTTAATTTTGTATTTATTTTGTAAATTTTCATTGAGGACATTTACAAAGTTACCTCAAGGAAAAACTTTGTAGCTTGAATTTATCTTGTGGTCTTTATCATTATTTCAGACTTCTTAGAATAAAATAATTGACCTGAGACCGATATGTAAATCAAACTTTAATTGTTTTATTCAGGAGTCTTAGAGAACTGCATTTTATGGAATTGTATCTTATTGTAAAATATACATAGTTATTGGCCATTCTCTCATGCTTGGGGTACAATTTTTTTATTTCAGGTTTGCTAGTAAAAGCTAATGGTGTTTATAATATTTTCTATCACTACCAAATCATCAAAAATGAAAATTCTCACTTATTTCTATTTCTAACCAACTTAATATTTATATGCACAAGATAACAATGTCTGTCTGTGGACTTAGAAAATGCTTAATGTACAGCATGACAACTGAACTATTTGCTCAGGAGTTGACTATATCGGGATTAAACTCGAATGGTTAGCTCACATTAGAAACCTAAACTAACATTTCAAAGATCACATCAAATCTATCTAGTGACTTAACTTTTTTACATAAATTATAAGTATCTGTAAATAAATAGTAATTTATATTTTGTATATTCTAAGGTGCCGGTACGTTTGGTGCATTGTAAATATTACCTAATTATTTCTAATATGCCAGGATACATCTGGATGTAAGTTGTTTGGTCTGAATCCCTTTTCTGTCCTCAGTTTTGAGATAGTGCCAAAACAAAATGCAAATCGTGTCATTGTAAAGTATGCTAGGGCGGATTTGAAAATGTTATAGTTCTTAATAGAACTGTTTGTTAATCATTTATATATTATTTTATATTAATAATTGTAAAACAGTACCAATGTTTATGTTACTTATAATTTTTAATACTGTGACATGATAAAATATATGTAGTCTTAATGAAAACTGTTTATAAATAAACCTAGAATGTTAATTGTTCTTTTTATTTATACCGAGTTGACAATGAATTATATTTAGTCCAAGCTTTTTGTGGTTCATGATCATTTATGTGTGAAACTTTATAATGAATGAATTATTTAATTAGTTTGAGGTTTGGAGGGGGTTTCCAAAAGTATTTAACATACATGAGAAAGTACAGAGTTTAAAGCATTTAACTTATAGACTTAAGTACCAAAAACACTTTTAATTTTATCCTGTAACTGTAAGGCCGGTGCCACACTATCACATTTAGCAGGATGCGTTTTTACCCCATTGACTTTGCCCTGTCACACTTGTCCTGTTCTACCGCAACAATCAAACGTCAAGTGAAAGCACGTGGGAGCATCACATGCAGTGCACTGTCCATAGCGACAACATTACGATGTCCAAAGTGAAATTTGTCTGTGCTCTTGAAGAAAGTGGTTTGTTGCAAAAAAATTATAATTGGCATTAGTAGGCACACCCTTTTCATTGCAAAAATGATAGAGGTCAGGGCCGAACTTACCTATGGGCGGACGGTGCGAGCGCCCGGGGCCCCCTGGCACAGTAGTTTTCTTAATAAGTTCAACAATTAATTAGGTGCTTACTAAATGTCCTCCCCCTTTTTTCGTAGTTCAAAATTATTACAATCGTGGGAAACTATTGCGAATACCGGAAATTGCCGCGATCGCAAGAAATCATGACAGCCGTTGCCGGGATCGCGGGAAATCATCACAAATTTTGCCGCAATTGAAATACCATCCTAGAAAATGGCCGCGGTCGCAAACAATTGTCACTAGTATTGAGATTATGGTGGATGTTTCCGCAATGGCTTAAGACAATGACAACGTTAACTGCAATTCTAGCGTTGCCTTGCCACGATCACGGGAAATTGTCACACATTTGGCCGTGATTTAAATATGATCTCAGATAATGGCTGCGATCGCAAAACATTGTCAAGAGTATTGAGATTATGGCCACAAATTACGCTGATATTCAAAAAAATAGTCACAGGATGTGAACAAATCGCTGGAGACTGGAGTTGTTTTGATTTTATTATCTCATTTAATAACCCATAAAATAACAAATGTCGGATTTTATGTAAAAAGCCGGCTTTGATGTTTTATATATGGTCCTTATAATTCTAAACAAAGTAGTGCAACCCCCATTGCTGTAACAATTACGGTTCAAAAGTTATTGCAACTTTTGTTATTTTCCTTTATAAAATATCACAGTACTCCTACCGCCTACCCTTGATAAAGGTTGTTGACAAGCATGGGAGAAAGTATGTTACATGTGTTTAATTGAAGCCCCAATTAATTGATTCTTCTTTAATATCAAGCTTAAAAATTTTTGTTAATACTTCAACTATTTCCATGTTCTTATCAATAGATGTCCTAGTTTTGTGATTCTGATAATAAATATTCAGCATAACTGGATTGCTGATGTTTTGATATTTTAGATATTTGTTCTTAAATAATCTATTGAAATACCGGTACCACAATGTATTAATACATTGATGATGTGGTTGCATACAAAATGACCTGATGAAGTTATAAAGAACTTATTTATTTATAGATAAGGTAATTATTTCATTTTATCAATAATATATTCCAACAATGAATTACAATATAAATAATAAACAATTATTACTTTCATAGGTCTGAGATCCGAATTAGGCTTATGTAATAATTATCTGAATACTTGACCCTTTAAACAACCATGAATTATTCAGTGAATTAATTATGTCTATTTTAATTCTAAATAAATCAATTTCAAATTCATTTAAAAAACAACTGCTGGTACTATTAGTGGTGCAATTAGACCTAAAGCTCAACATCCAAAGTGAAAGCTAACTTTTGACTCCAAACTGTTCAGTATACTCCTCGTATTGTGTGTTAAAAGGTTACACCATTTTGAACCTCGGGTTTGTGGTGGGAGGAGGGGTTAAAGTTGAAAAATTGGTGGTTTTGTGAAATATATTGAAAACTATGTGGTTTAAAGCAAAATATGTAGTTTACAAAAATATTCTATGATAAATTTCAAAGAAGAATAGTCCTCGTCTTAATATTTTTAAGGTCAACGGTTATAAAGGTATAAAAGGTTAAAAAAAGTCCCGGGATGGCTAAATATTTCAATAAGTAATAAAAATAGAGCAAAAAAACTTTGAAAGAAAGACACTGCACATCAAAATTATTTAAAAACATTATTCAGTGATACGCCACCTCCTCAGGGGGAAGGACCAGTAGGATTCAGAAAAAAAATCTTTAACCTAAGCATAGGTTGAATATGGACATTGATTTAAAGGTCTTTATTAGTAAAATACAATGCCACAAAACCAAACTTAAACGGATGAGGGAGTATAAAATGGCAGCCGTTGAAAGATTCAAAATGGCAAATTCAAGAAATCTTTCAACTGTTGTTGAGGTTGTCAATAATTCAACTTCCTTTTTAGCCAGACACCATTTATTTAACGTGTGCCCTCCTCACCAGCTAAGCCACACGTTATTAAGCTTAAAATGGATTGCACATGTACAGGATTCAAACTTCCGCATGTAGAAAGAACTCAGTGCTACACTGGTCAGTGCAACGCCTTAGCCAACTGAGCCACCATGCCACCGTCGGCAGAAAGCAACAAGTTCCGCAATAAGCACATAAGAACTTGCAGGTGAGATTCAACAAACTTAAGGTGGGTTACACACATGCATCTCACATGGTGCGACTAGAATGTTTGATGCCGGTAGCACAGTGCGAGATGCATACACCCATGGCCGTTGCTTGTGCTAGTAGGCTTTTTGGCGCTTAGTTTACAATTCAGAACTTCCTTGGACAATTTTGATATCGTCATTGGTTGATGAAATGCTGTGGGGTGAAGAAAATATTGGACATCCCCTTATTGGTGCCAAAATGTTAAAAGTAGCCAATACATGATCAGACCTTGGAACATCCAGAGAAGTTCCAGAAGTTGTACTGCATGATTCCAGACAATTTCATAATTCATCAAATACTTGACCTTCCAAAAGACCACTGTACCAAAAGAATAGTAGATAGCGTGATTTTTCTGTGTTAGGAGCGACTCTATATTTTATCACAGTATATAGTATATGAATGACAACGGATACATTAGAATTTTTTAAATAGCCATGTGTTGTGAAAATGTGTCCTGCGCATTCACCGACTGAAGATGCGCGCTGCATGCAGCGCTAAAACACCGACCGATCGGTTACGAGTGGCACTGCACGCTGCATACGAGCTGCAAGATGCCAGTAGCACAGCGCCAGTCGCATATGTGTGTAAGCTCCATTTGATTAACACAGGTTGGTCTTTGTGCTGCATGCTAGTAGCAAGAAAAATGCTAGTCACACCGTGCAAGATGCATCAGCATATGTCTGTAACCCGTCTAAATCCCAAGCTATACTTGAGCTTAGGTTTTAAAGTGTTAATATTCCAACTCTCCTCTAGTAGAGATTCAATAAGACTTTAAGGAGATGTTCTACCATTCCTGTTCGATTTATATTCCTAACATGTATGTGTCAATAAATTGATTTGATTTGAATAATTGATTTTTAAAACTAAACTTAAGATCAAATTAGATCTTAAGACACAGTACAAAATCAACAAATTCGACAATTAAATCTTGCATACGATTATATTAAACTCTATCTTACAACAAAACCATTAAAATTGGTTCTGAAAATATATAAGAACAGTTAGGAAAAAACACCATATAGCTTGTAACATAAGACTAATGTGATAAGGAATAATCCTTGTAAAAAAAGTTAAAGCTCAACCTACCTGGTAACTTTAAAATATATTGTTATTCAATAAGTTGACAAAAATCATGTCTTCTAGTCACAATGAACTAAAGAAATGGCTAAAGAAAACAATTTGCCTATTAGTGAATTTAGAGAAAAACATCACAACAAAACTATCATTAAGTAGAAAACACATGGCACAACTAATAGGCACGAGAAATATACACACTTTTATTTAACCAAATAAGGCTAAAAAACAGTACAATCGTTTCTTAGTATTATTATAGTATAATCTAACGTAACTTAAAGTTTATGGAGATATCTGTGCTACTAACAATACACAAATTATTAAATACAAAATAAACCTTTGTCTTTTAAATATTCATATAAATTTACTTATTGCCCCTTTGCATTATGGATAACTAACGAGGGAAACATATTGATACAAACATTATCAAATTTATAAACATTTAAATTCGAAAACTATATTACTTTAAGAGTGTTCCCCAAGATTTTCAATTCTCTTTTGGATTTCGGCTTAGACTCCGATATCATGGTGTTACACTTATTCCTAAGGATATGGTTAAGTAAGAACTTCCTTTCAAAGGAATAATAATTCAAAGACAAACCTTATCGAGTTCACTAACACATGAACTATATAAACAATAACAATAATGTATTTTAATACTACATAAAAGCATAACATAACTTATGCCTAAGAGATATGTTAAGGTGAACTAGGAGGAGGGGGGGGGGTGATATGTAGAGGATATGTGTGAGGGATGGTATAAAGGGAGCTTGACGCAGATATGTTACGGGTTAATCATCTGATATGGTTTAAGGGCTGGGAATTTTCAAATCTGGTCAACAAGTGTTTTGTATAATAAATTCCAAGTATGAAACTACCGTTATACGATATAAACATCTCATCTCTATTCATGTTATGTGAAATCAATTGATTCATTTGAATACTGTGACACCTGTCTCAAACAATTGACCAGATTTGAAACACTAATAGAAGTCATTAGACTACAGTTGTAACACCATGACTGTTAATACATGACCAATAAGCTTCTAACAATAATACTTGATACAATACTTAACTCGAATAACTTTTGGCAGACCTAATAAAGAAAGCCTTCACATTACTACATCAATAAACAAAACAATAAACTGCATTACATAGAACTCTCCCCTCCCATATATTCCCCTATTTATATATATACCTTACCCAGTATGACTAGTAAAATTTAATTTCAATAAATAACAAATAAATCAGTCATAATGTCTTTACTATTCCAACCTGATCTGCTGGTGCCGATCATATTTTTATTCGAATAATAAATTATTGCACAAAGCAATTGCAACAAACGACGTTGAAAGACACGGTCCTAGTGATCTTATATATAATAACTAATTACTTATGTTTTGTCATCTGGAGACCCTGTTGTTTAGAAGGCATGTAGCAAAATATGAGTAAAACGAGTACAAATACGGTAACGGGAAGCAAAAGAACCGCATGACGTGCTACAAAAACTACTAAAAAAATTCAGTAAAAAAATATATATCGATAAAAACAAAATAATCGAGTAAAACGTACATATGTATTCTAAAGATACAGTACGTAAAAAACAATATACAAAGAATGTTAATTTGCATTCAAAAAACAACTAGCTCAATTATGAGGTAATTCAAGAGAAAGCTGCTTGAAACTAGATAAAATTGGTCTAGATAGATAGATATTGGTGAACATTGTCAGGTGTGTGTTTCTGTTGTGATTTGGGTTGGTGGTGTAATTTAGAATAACTTTCAACATATCAAAAGTTGATTGATTATTTAAAATATACATTTTTGTTTACAAAATTAAAAAGGAACCGGGAAATAAGTAAACATGATTCATGAAATTTAACTCTATGATGGTCGAATTAAAAATATTATCAACAGGAATTTACATCAATCAACTTCCAATATAAGCGAGTCAAAAAACTCACATTTTAGCAAAAATGACAAAAAATAGCTGCTCAGGATTGTACATTAAAGCTTGCTCAAAGGTATCGTGGCCGCACCATCATTTCGCAGGGTAGGGGAGGGGAATATTTATATATATACGTGTAGTGCGAACACATATATACAACGTTACAGTGCGAATAAGGCCGCGTGCTCAGGGCTTGGTCGACATTTAGTCATTCTCAACGTATTTTATTTCCAACACATTTAAGAAAGAAAGCTTGTATTTAAACTGTTAGCAGATTTAGATGGTGAAATAAGTGTCTTTTATTTTGTTGCACAAAACAGGGCTTTGTTTCAGGAATTGTACATGTTACCCTTAAGCTTAACAAATGCAACCCAGAATATTTATTTTTCAAATACAAACAGTCTCACTCTTCCCTTGAGAGAGTTACTTTCAAAAATAGAAACTTTATGAACATAAGCAATGCGATTCAGAATTTGAAACTACGTAAAATGTGTTATCTGACACATAGAGATGTTGCTGATTGTCTTTGTTCTACGTGAAGTGATGAATTATGACATGTAACTATTAATATAAACGACAATTATCAAAAATAAATGTATACTTCGGTATTCAGAATCCCTCACTTAAACACCTGTGTTTAAGTCTTTGACTCGATATGTTGTTGAACATAAAACACTGTATTTGTTTGTTTACCAGACAACCTCATCACAGCCTTGTCAGCCAAGCCACTGAGCACGAGCGTATATAACATGCAGAGAGATCTAGCTAACCTATGTACAGTACAGTCGGTACTAATGCCCGTGATAAGAAATGTTTATCACATCATATTATTGATCCTGTCGTGCCTCACACGCTAAGAATTTCAAGTTACACAAATTTCTAACACAAACACTGATATTCTAATTCTATTGATTGTCTAATTCAAAGTAAACTTAAGAGTCTTTCTTTTTTCCCTAACCGATATTATAGAGATCAAAAAAATCTTTCCTGTCGGTTTCAAAAACAAAATACGGGAGGTAGACTACAATATTTGATAACAGATATATAAGGTTACAGTAAGAATATTTACAGAAATAATTGCGAGAAGAACGATTAAGTACGAAGTATTAACAAATCTTGACGAAATTTCTGGATAAAATTTGGCACATGAATTACAAAATTGAAATAGATCGCGATTAAACAGCATAAATAAATTTGGCACATATATTATTGTATTTAAATTTTATCTAGATCGGAAGCATATATCTAAGAATATATAACTTAAGGAGTATTACTTAAAATACAATTTTATCACAAGTATATTAACCATTAATCCGAGATTCTTACGATACCGTTAGGGTCACCGATATACCACTAGTAAAATAAGTTCTTATACAGTCGATCCGCGTTCTCGTATAGAAGTATCTTTGTACAACCGTCCACCCCTGTATCGCTTGTTAAATATACAAAAATCCATTTAAAAAATCCGGTCGTACGGTATGAGTTCTTAGGACGATTATTTACAAAGGAAGACAAAATAATGTAAGTTTAAATTAATGTCTTTATGGCAATCAAAAAAATCTAACAGATTCCTTTGCTATTTACATAAATATACCCTCTGGTAAACATAAATTGCTCAGGGCTACTACTCTATCCAACATCAACGTAGAAGAAAACCGAGTTATTATTGCACATTGAAAATTTCTTTAAGAGAAAATGCATATTCTACGAGTACATACGAATCGATACTGAAACTTTTCTTTCGGATCACAATTATTTAGACAACGTAACAATTATCTTTGCATAATATATCCTATTAGATAACTAACAAAAAATCACAAATCTACATAAAAAATAGATGACAGATACAATAACAAACGAAATTAATGTATCGATAATATAAAATAAATATTAATAATAGTCCAACACAAAACTATAATAATTTAATATAAAAAGTAACAAACAGGTCTTTGGTTTTCTCCCCTCTTTTGATTCATGTATCCGGTCTGTGTAATGCTGGAGCTGAAGTGTAGATGGCATTAGTGGATGGGAGCCTTGACGATGTGGTTCGGAGCGATGTAGTGGTAGCCCGGCATCGGCATTCCAGCTGTCTCCATCGATATCCTGCAAAAACCGCCATTATACAAGATTTTGGTGACACAATTATCTTACCTAAAAAAACTTAGACAACAACAACAAAGATAAATCGAATTTGATTCTTCTTCTATAATTCTATATGGGATAACAAACAAAAAACATTTTATGAGGATATTTATAAACTAAATGTAATTTTTACCATCAAGTAGGCCTACTGTAGTTTAATGCGGGGGTTCCTAGTTGCCGGATTCAGATGTCGAATGTGGCTGTGGGATTGTGAATGCCATGTGGTTGAATGTGGCTGACCACAAACACTGACTTTGCCAGTCAAATAGATTTGGATTGCCCCTCGCTAAGACTTATTAAACCTAGATAAAAATTAATTTAGCCACTAAGCCTATGAGTGAAATTATATGTTCTGTAATTGAAGTGATTACAGTTACAGCTGTTTTCCATCAGATGTTCTATAAATGAATTTACAATCTAGGCTCAGTGCTGGATTTACCACTGGGTCGAATAGGCAGTGGCCTAGGGCCATAAGCAAAAGAGTGCAGCAGTGTTTTGTACAATTTGAAGAACAAAAAACTTAATATTTGGCAATTGCGGGGAAGTTCCGCCTATGGGAAGGGGGTCGCTTGGGTTAATTTGGCCTAGGGCCTCAAGTACCCTAAACATGGCACTACTATGGCTCTAAAGTGATAAATTAAAATTAACATTTTTTAACTCGTATCCCAGTTTTAAATCAGAATGTTGACCCTATAAGGAAAACATTACTGCACCGATGGTGATAAGAACACTTGGCATATCGTCAAAACAAGCTTTAACTCTATTAACTGTATCCACAAAAAAAGAATAGAAAGTGTCACTTTAATTATTTTACTTACCTCATGTTGATGAGGTATTGCGCCAGGGCCACAGCGTCTGGATTCCCAGTGATTGTGATGGTTCTGTCTGTGGCCCCACCGTCTCGTTCCTCGCAGTTGCTGATACGAATCATTGCACCACTTATTTGCCTGCCAAACAAATCATCAGTTCATTTCAGCAAATTTCCCAATTAGGGAAGAAGCTACTACCGTAGGTGGCACGGTCTAGGTCTTACCGGGACCGATTTAATATTTATTTTCATTTTGATGTCCCCAGAGGTCAAAAACACTGTTCATTACAATTTGTATACATGAGTCCAAGATCACGACAACTCAGAGATTCTTAGAGCATCCTCTACAGTTCTAGTTTCTAACTGAAACGGAGAAATTTCTATGTAGCCTACATCCCAAGTCCTAGTTGGTACCTTAATACGTTCACTGCTGACCGCTAGATGCCGGGAGGGCGCCAGGAGCTGAACTAACGCTCGCCGCTGTGTAACATTGCCGCCGATACACTGAATTACAGTAAAAACAACAGTAGTTATACTGGATAGCAATGTTCTGCAATAAAACTGGCTTTGGACATAGTACTAAGTTATTCTGATAGATAGCAGCACTACCCAGGTTGCAGTCGGTAAAGTAGTGTCGCTATTTAACAGGAAAGAGGTGGGACAAAGCCCTGTTCTAAGCGTGATTTTAGGAAACTATATTTTTTATTGTCAGAAAAGTACGTCCCCACGAGCTGCTAAAATATAGGACGCTCATGACGAGCTGGCTGATCCATGGAAACGTTAAACAACAATGAACGGTGACGTTCCGGAACGTTCCTGCTCCTGGCGCTGTGGCCCGGCTGACGTTCCGGAACAGCGAGTACGTTAAAAATCACTTGACCCTTTAATGTATGAATGCGATACACTCTGACTGTAGACGAGCCATTGTTCCCTCTCGCTCCTGTCAGAATCTGTAGTCTCAAGTCCCATTTTTATGTTGTCTCCTTGGTGTACAGTGACCAGTCCCTGTCACAATCGTTAGATTATTTGTTGAGCTTGATCACTTATTACGACTCTTACGGATATAGTCTGCAAGTTTAATTAATTAATTATTTTTAAGAGTTGGAGGCCTCTTTTACCTTGCATTTGCCCGTCCACACAGGGCCGTTTTAATAAATAGACCCAAGGAAGAGGAAGAGAAAAATTCAACCCCATAAGGTAGGTGGAGACGGAGAGGCGTGCAATTATATCTCGGGCTCATAGCACACACACACCATATGAAAACCAAGGCCTGCATCCACATGGGCCACTGAGACCTGTGCGTGAAACGTATCCAGCAAAGCAAGGAGTGAGCCAGTAGAGTACAAGGGTGAACTGTACTGTGAAAGTAGTGGCAGATACAAGGATCTGAACCACGACATCGCTGCTTTGGGCTCAAAGTCAGTGGCGCTACCGACTGAGCCACCAACTCACCAAAAGGTAAAGTAGTTCCTTAACCTGCCTCTATCCCAGAATGGTCAGCCACCTCCTTTTCCTTCTAATTTCTTAAACTTAAGTTTTCTTTTTTTTTCTTCTAAAGAGGTAAGCTTCTTCTACACCCCAAATTGGTTCAGGTCCTGTGAATGCAGTGGACACTCCTACTCATGCAACTTTATCTACCTCATCATTGCTTTCAATACCCTAGGGCCTGAGAACCCAAAAGATGTATGTCAAACTAGGTGCAGACAGCTATGACAAGCTAATTCCGGTTCCCAACTCATTGAGGCTGTTTCATAAGTACCGTCCCATCTTAGCACTAATTTCAAGTGAACTTAAGGAGTTTTGATGGCAGCCTTACTATTAGACACTTGGCCCCTATTCTATCTACTATTCTATCTACTATTCTTATCTTGTACCCTCTCTTTAGGTTGAAATAATCACACCTTTCTATGAAGTTTTTCTTCAGCCTGAAATACACTAGGTTCAGTGTACCTCATTCTGGCCCCAAACAGTTTTGATCCTTTCTTCCCTAGATTCTTTAACCTGTCAGTATACCACCACCAGTATTTTTCTTTATGGAAGCTTTAGCTCAATTTTTCAAGTTGCTGATAATGATTATGACTATTATGAGTATGACTAAAATATTCTACAAGTGATATGATAACAAAGTTCCAATTATAAATTCTGGGTGCTTACTATACTTTACTGCATGTCCTAAAAACTATCAACCTTTTCTTGTGTTTAAGTTCCACTCGCAGCTCTAAACTCTCTAAGAAAATAAATAGATCTTAGTTAATTTTACACCACAAAGAGTGTGAGACTTGCGTTGATTTAGGTGTACATTGTTGAGAAAACAAAACAATCTAAGATAGGAAAGGTTTGGGAGTTGCTCGTAAAACTTCAATAGTTTAAAATTATGTCTCTTGAACTATATCATTTTTAAATTCTTAATATTAGGATTTAGTTACTCTTAGAGAGTAAAATGAAAGCGGTGAATTATATTAGAGGGAATTACCTATGAATCCAGTCAGAGACTGTCTGGTATTTCAACTTTTACAATTTATTTATATTTATCTGTTCTTGAAGGGATGAATACAGGCTAAGCATGTATCTGTATTCGTCCATTTTTAAGTTTTAAATGTCTGGTAAGGTTTATTTAAGTTAAACCCAAACAAGGTAAAACTTCTAAACATGATTATTTTTCAATGTTTCTTTCTATGAAATTTAAAGTAACTTTAGCATAAATTACTCCAGACAAATTTTCTCTTTATTATGTTTTCATTCTCAAGAGTAATCTACAATGTTTAAGAGCCCTCCACAAACTAGGTTATGACTTTCAGAACTTCTCAGGGGTGGAATTAACAGTACCAAAACAAATTCGACACCAGTTACAGTGCTGGCTTGTTTTTGGAAACAAATTCCATGAGATTTTCAACTTAACCTCAAAATAATATAATGTAAGTCAAAGTCTGAAATAAGCTACTGCACAGGCATCTGTTTTCCAGTAAAGAGGAGAATAATCTTTGCACATAAAAATAAAACACCAATTACATCAAAATGCAGGGCTATATTCATACAAATTAAAAGATAATGTTGTACAAAGTCTGTATTACCTGATCTCAGCAATCTTGGTGCCTCCCTTGCCAATGATGCAGCCAATGAGGTCGTTAGGCACGGTCATCTCATGGGTCTGCTGGTTGCTGTTCTGCTGATTCCGGTTGGGATTGTTGGTTCTCAGCTGACTTCCAGCTAGAGCGGCCAATGCTGCTAACACCAAATAAACTTTCACTCGTATTATCTGTAGGCCTACAGTAAAACCTGCTTATAAATTACATCAAAGGGTGTTTTTGTTTTATGATCAAACGTTTATTAAACACTTCTAGGTCATTTGGAAAAAATGTAATCTTTAACTATCTATTTGGATATAACTCGACCAAAACAACTGAAAGATATACCTGACTACTGAAATCTGGGAGTAAAGTTTGGAACAACTACACTTGGGGTTTGGATGGAGCAGAGTTGTTAAAGCCCAGGTTTGATCAATGCTTGAGTGGTATAAGGCATTGTCTCTACGGCCAGGAAAAACTCTAGATTGAGGTTTAGAATTTCCTCAAGGCCAGGTCTGGTGTGCAACTCATGGTGTGTAAATGTCATAGCTTATGATGTTCATTAAGTAGAAGCCTTTCCTCCTCCTCAACTTAATGTATCGTGTGTTAAATATTATATTTGTGTATATTTTCAACGACATTATGTTCATATAATTTAATGTTGGACGACAAGGGCTCGAATATGAAAGAGCTGTTTCGAAACTAGTCGCCCGAGACTGAACGATGATTGACGACGTAAGGTAAGTAAGCCTTTTTTATTTGTCATAAATCAATCGTATAGGCAATGCTGAATAAAACTAAAAGTGAAAAGCTTGAGTAGAAGTTGATTTGTTGAATGGATTCTTTGTGAGCTACACTGCTACATCAATAACTGACAATGTGCTAATTTTACGTATCATTACTGCGAGTGTCCATTGAAAACTTGTTTTACAATTTTTAGATCTTTGTGTCTCTACAATAAAAGAAGAAATCTTTATGAAAAGGCATAAATAAATCAATGAAAAATCCACGAAGCTCAAGAGGTAATGTGTACAACCAACAGAAATCTATATTTACAGGGGATTAGAAAAAAGGTGTTAGCAATTTCAACACATTAACATACAGGAAAGACAGATTATATGCACAACATAAATCTGAAATTTTTAGAACACAAACAAAAAGGTTTTGTTAAGAGCTTTCTTTGTTGATTGATAGTTATATTAAAATGGTATTCAATCTTCTTCAAATTGATTAACCAAAGAAAAAAGTAACAACCTGCGTAACTGAGGTTCCAATATGGGTACATTCCCGGTATGGCAGTTGCGTTATCAGTACTGCTTCGATCACCCCTTTGCATTTTTCAATGGACAAGCTTGAGTATATGTTGGTGATAAAAGCAAGGATGTGAAGAAAATTGAGGATAAAAGAGTTTCGACCAATTTCATGCTTCTGTTTTCCACAATGTACAAAATATAGGTCAATCTTGGCCAATAAAATCGAGGTTTAAAAAGTTAACTAACATAATTTTTCTAAAACCTGTATTATCAGCTCAATACATTCAATTTAAAGGCTATGAGCTTATGTTAGGACAAAAAAAAAGATAGAGGAGGTTATCACATAGTTTTCCGCTCGATAATTTCAATGAACAGGTTAGGAACCAAATATTGGCGAAGAAAAACATTAAAAGAGTCTACAAACCTCTTTTTCTATGCCTTAATTCATAAAGCCTCGTCTTTGTTATTGCAAGCCTCTCATACAGATACAATTGCACACATAGAAGTGTAGTCTGAAAGGCTACCTGCAGGGTTGAGACCAGTGTTTGCAGAGTTGAGACCTCCGAGCCCCAAGGCTGCCAATCCCGCCAATGGTCCTCCCCCCATCTTGGTAATCTGTAACAGTGACAAGTCATCCCCTCCCACCACGGTGCAAGCTACCCCCCAGCTGAGCAAGTCAAACCATTCCAACTTTGCGATTTTTCAAAAAGTTATTATTTCTACTGTAACTTTTTTTACAACTGGCGTTATATTTGAGGTAACCTAATAAAATTGATTCTTGTAGCTAAGGTTATGACACAAAATATTAAGTTGAAAGTTATTGTTTTGTTAAAAAAATAAAAGAACAATTATTCATCAATCTCTGTCCATGATTTGAAGATTGAGTTGTCCATAAATCAAGATCTTCATCGAGCTCTCGTCGCATTCAAGTGAGCTAGTTCAAATCTAAGACCAACGTCATCCACTACTAACTTACTTCGTCCTCTACTAAGCCGGTTCCCACCCCTATGTGATGATCAGTCTCGTTATAGTATACTAACGGAAAAAAGGAAGTTTTGTAAAAGAAAGTTGACGATCCTGCCAAGATTGAATCACATCTTACAAATAGGTTTCTGTATGAAGGGGTTAGTCAATCCCTGTTGATTGCGGTTGCCAGTTGACAGATATGTATGAATAAAAGTGTTTTGATGTAGAAAATTAGCATAAGTGGTTTAAGGAGTTGGCATAAGGTTACACGTTTGCTCAACAAGGCTGGCAGCAAGTGTGTTCATCCATTTTCATCGAGTGATGAAATTTGGGGAAACTTTGCTGACCGTACCAGTATTTCAGAACTCTAAGGCTGACCGTAGACATTGATAGTCTTATAGGGACTCCCCTATTAGTTCTACAATCTCTCTCGTTCAGTCACACCATGATCCGAATGCAAAGTTCCTAACTTTGGTTGTTGCATCACATGAGACTAATGAATGATAACAGTTGACATAAACCATGGAAATCATCGAGCATATGTTTTTCCAAACTCCCTTCCAAAAACTCAACTCCATTCATATTCATCAACCAGCAATGGTTTTCAATAGCGATTACGACTTGTTGACCACAGAAATCTTATCACAGAATGTAAATTTCAATGTGAACTTGGGATTGTAAATTTTCTTTCACAAAGTTTTCAAATATTACAAGGCTGATGGTTTAATAGGAGTAGCAACAACTGTCTAAATAGTAGAATATGAAGTAAGGAGAACATTTTTGGTCTCAGATTTGAACTAGGTAGCTTAGCTGTGACGCGAGCACGATGGAGACCTTACCCAGACAGCACGTGAGCTTGGACCAAACTTGGTTTTTACATATTTCCGAATTGGTATGACAAACTTGGAGTTTGGAACCCACTACAAATTTAAAACAGCTTTGGTTAAGTGAACTTGTGTGAATGAGCCAAAACTAAACTTGTTTTATTTACATATATAACCTGGTTGGCCAAGTCCACAATTTAAACACCTAACCAGACCCACGACAAGCTTGTTCATGTGAGTCTAAAGTGAGCAGTGCCATATGACAAAAGAATTTTCCCTCCACCCCTACCCAGAACGCTCCTAAAACAGGTTTTAGGAGCGTTCTGGGTTCTTTGTGTAAACAGGTTTCTTTGTGCTGAACCACCATTTTTGTTGGATTTAGACTTCCTCACTCTCAGTTGTCAGTTCTCACTTATCTAGTTCTGGTGTTGTGAGTTACTCGTTTCGTTACTAGTTGTGAGTTTTGATTATGGTTTTGATACCAAGACAAAGCAAAGAAGAATTAATTAAGGGATTCCTGTAAAGGTAAGATTTAAACTCCATTGATAAAAAATATACTTGTGTTGGTTAGTCTATGATGATATAAGTAAGCTAAGTTAAGCAAACAATTAATTTCATTGCATCAAGAACCCGTAGAATTTTGTTTATAGCCTAAACCTTTTGTGCTTTAACCTTTGACATACTCAGCGCTTCACTGAATCGACAACGTCACTCACTATACTATACTCTAATAGTCTACTGCTGAACTCAACAGAACAGTGCCAAAATTTGTGTTTAACCTTAACCATTATAGTCAATGCCTGAACCTAGTCTACGGATAAAAACAGGCCAAACCACTAGTTTACGTATAAAAGTAAAATAGTAAGAAATAAAAGTTTGATAACAATTTTAAAAACAAAGGTAAGTTAACAACCTGTGTTTGCAACACCAACAAATTCCAAATAATCAAATAATTATAATAACAAATAAAAATAATGAAAAATTATTTAAATGATAAATTTTAATAAACCAAATAATTCTAATGCAATTGTATTTTTTATAGATCTTCTGAAGCAGGCGGTGGAGTTGATGGGTTCAGAAAAGAAGTTGAAGGTCAAGTGGAAGATAGTGGGCATTGTATTTATTATATTAATAAATTGTCTTGAAATGTGAATGTCTTGCTTTCTAAACCTCATATATAACCAATATTTTTTCAAGATCACTCATAAAATAGGCTTCATTTTATCATAAATCTTTCTTGGTAAAAATTAATTATAAGAAAAAATGTGGGCTAGCAAATGAATGGTGTGAAACAGCTCATATGTTAAATAGGTATAAATTATATTACTATTACTATAGCATATAATAATAATAATAATAATAATTATTATTATTATCTCTGATCATGACAGTAATTGAAGTATATAAAACTTCGTACCAAATTCTGAGTGAGTCTATAGGTGTGAGCTTGTTTGCCCAAGTCTAAAATGTGCTAAAACCAATTCCAATATGAGTCTAGGCCAAGTCCAATATGAGTCTACTAAAAGCGGGCTTGGGTCTCCAAGTCCATAATGAGCCTGTTTAATTTATCAGTGTGAGCTTGTTTGCCCGAGTCTAAAATGTGCTAAAACCAATTCCAATGTGAGTCTAAGCCAAGTCCAATATGAGCCTACTAAAATTGGGCTTGGGTCTCCAAGTCCCGAACAAGTCCATAATGAGCCTGCTTAATCCACCAGACCCGTTTTGTATCCATCATTCCAAGCTTAGAGTGGGTTTGTGCCCATGAGTTCACTGTAGGTTTGGGGTTGGGACTTGGGTTGGACTTGGGGAGCCAAACCCATAACAAGTTGAACAACTGCCAACTTCGGTCTCTAAAACAAGTCAAAACCAAGCCTACAGACTTTGGTCCCTGAGTCTAAACCAGGCTTGGGAACTTGGGCCAATGGACTTGGAACAAGTTCCCAGCAAGCCCATTGTGCTGTTGGGGTAATAGACAACACTTTTTCATCAAAGGCTTGACATTGTGTATGTTTATTTTACCATTGATTAATTTAATACTGTAGTGTGATACTAGTCATAAAAAAGAGAATAATGAATTGTCAGTTAATTTTAATGTACATGTAACTGTGATTGGTTTGAAACTAATAAACATTTTTTTGAATAGGATTTTTTCACAAAATTGAAACAGTTCAAGATGAATAAAAGTGCATATCTATAATATTTGAATTCACTATTTAGATAGTTTTGAAGATCTATGACTATTGAAGTCTAATAATATGACATAGAATGAAAGAGACTTGTATTACAATTATCTTTGACCAGTGGAACATGATATTTAGAAAGAAACTCAAATCACCACATTTTCCATTTAGGATTTCTAAAAAAAATCCAGACAGATTGGATTGTCTATTCAATAAAACCGTTAGGTTCTGGTGAGTTTTCAATAAAAATATAAAACAAGGATACACATTTTAATAGCATATACTTTTGTAGAAATTTGCATTTTATGAAATTTTTTCTGCAATAAAACTTTAAGACTCAAATATATTTGGAAGATGCTGTGGTATATAACAAGTATGCATTTGGGCCATTTAAACTATTCAGGATTTTGTCAAACATTTTAATTTTAAGCTATGAATCAATCAACAATATCAAATTAAGTTTAAAAACAACAGAGGATTAAACATGGTGCTTTATTTATTGAATATGTATTAAAAGTAATGCATCAGTAGGTCTACCCTACATAACTATTCACTTAGTGTTTTGAACTAGAAACCAAACACAATTTTTATTATTAGAATATTTGTACCTGAAATTAGTATAAAAATTATTAATTAATAAAATTTGTCTATATCAGGGTAATTTAATTTAGAAATTTTAGAATTCACCATAGGAAACATGATTTATGATCACCCCTAAACTTAAACTTTCTAAGTTCAAACAACAGAGAAAAATTTATACCATTGTATACTTGCACACCTGGGGAGAGTTACATTTTTGTCTTTTCTCAAAAACATGTTAACAATATTCACAACAAATAACACATCTAAGGTAATATAGGTAACAATAAAGGATACAATCAACATCATATCTAGTCTTACATAGTATACAGTATTCTAAGACTAGATTAGTGTCTTAAATTAATAATATTTGAAAGCTTTATTTTGTAGAGCTGCTGCTGCCTCTTTAACTCAAATTTGTTATTAATGTTTGCTGACAACAACTGAATTCTGCAGATTGCAACATCCGTACACCTTCTTTCTATAATATTAGATACAATTTTAAATTGTAAGGTTTTGGGGTTTGCAATTTCATACTTTTTCAACCAACCTTTGCATCTTTGCAATCATTGCCGATACGGTTAATTTGTCTAAAAAACGTTCATAGTGTTCATGAAATTAGTGAGTAAGAAAATGCATGTAGTTTATCTTAGAAAGATAGTTTGCAAGAAAGTAGTTTTGTAAATGTTTTAATTACTAAAAATTCTTCAAAATTACATGAATTAAACATGACCAAAAACTTCATATTATTTACTCTCAGTGGCTCGAAGCTCCACTGCCTCATAAATCATATAGTTCATGTCAGTAAAGCTTTGAATGTTTACAAATACAAAAGGCATGTCATATCTAATGCCAAGAATAGCTGGGAAGTTTAAGATGTAAAACCAAAGAGTAGTATATTTTAATTTTGTGTGTTTGATAAATTTACAAATTTAGTATCAGGTAATGTGAAAATTTAATTTAATTGTGGAAATTTATACATATACTTAGCCCAATAAGTTTATTTGCATGTTTCATCAAATGCAACTGAAATTGTGAGATTTTCCAATTAACTATGTAAGAATTTTTATTTTGTATACAAAAAACTACATTAAAATAGTCCTAATAAAATATTTTATATCTACAGCAAGCAGGTTATGACGTGTAACATATTTTTTTTTAATTATTAAACTATTATTTTTGTTTTATTTTTATCAACACTTTTTAGATAAACTAGGCTGTACCCTACTTATTAAATTGAAATTTAACTTACCAAACCTGATAAAAAGGGTTTAAACTGTAAGAAATAGTAAAACAAAAATATAAACTATGCTAGGCTAGGGTTGGGGTCCCCAATACCCCGTACGACAAAGTCGCACCCCCCTCCAAAATGTGGGAATCAACAAAAAAGGGACATAAAAATTGGTGTGAAACAAATAAAATGAACAAAAAGTAAGATGAGGCTTCGCAAGCAGAGGAAAAAGCCATGCTTAAGAGACCCTCTAGACTAGCTACACTGATTGACAATTTGCTACAAAGATGCATTTCAGGCTTCCTGGTGGGGATAAGTGTTTTATGACCGAATCATAAAATGTGGGACTGAAATCAGTGATTGAAGTTCTGTAGTATTTATAACCAAAAAATATAGCACATAAAAAAGTTAAAATTGTCAAATTAAGTTTTCATTGAGCACCAATCATCAAGAACTAGTGATGGAACAAGTCAGTTAATTTTCAACTTGAGTCGAGTGAAAATGGCTCTTCCTCATGATTCCAAGTCAAACTATTAAATTTTGACTATACTCAAGTCAGCAAAAGAACGCAACTACTATAATTATCAGGCGAGTCATCTCACACGATAATAGGAATAAAAGGAATCAGTGGCTCATACACATAATCAATGGGTCAAGTCAATAACTTGAGTTACGTTACAGCGATTCCTACACACGGTTTGAAGTCAAACTCATTTGAGCCAGTTAATGACCAAACTCAACTTACTACTTAAGTTGGATACTCATTTGAGTAAGATATTTTACAAATAGAGTTGAGGAGCAAAGGTCCCAAATTGTGGTTAGAAGTTAGGTGACTTAAGCAAAAATATAGGTCAAGTGTGAATTGATTGAAGAGGAAAAAGAAAACTGAATGGTCAATGTCCCGCAAAGTTATTGACTGTGCATTTACGTAATTATTAACTATAACAACTTGTAGTGAAAACTCTTAAACCCAGATGAATAACTTGAATGCTGTAGTGCAATCATCTGCATTATTGTTTGATTGTTAAAAACCATGAAAATATACCCAAGAAAAGGGTTTGAATGAATTTATAATAATAAATTTTGACAAATGTCTGTTTGTCACTAAGACATTACCCATGCATCTTTGCAGCTAAAATTATAAATTACCCACAGCCAGTTCTTATAAAACTATTCTAAGATAAAATATAATATTTTAGATGAGCATGAGTATTGATGACTTACACAGTATGTGATTCATGAAATGATTCTTGTTGAAAATATTACCCTTAAGTACCCTTACAAAATATTACTTTTCATAACTTCATTTGTAAAAGTTGGTAAACATTAAATCCCTGTAATAGATATATACTTACCACTGTTGATAGGTATAACACCAAACATTAATCTATGGGTATATTTGAAAGCTATAACAAAAACTTGAGTTCCTCTAACTTTTTGAAATTTTTTCCTTTAGCTTATAGTAAGATCAATTAAGAATATTCCAAAGAACAAAGTTTAAACCATTTACAAGATTAATTCAGAGCACATATTTATAGATTGTTTCACATATACAAAAGAATGTCTTCAAATCTTAAAATCTTAAAAAAACACAAAGACAAAATACTAAAGTTCAGCTAGCTCTCTAAACACTATAAACCATTCACTCAAGCAGTTCAAATAAGCAACTATGTTAAGTTGTCTACAAAATAAGCATTTAAATGTATGTTGAATTTAAATTAGATTTTACACCCAAAAATTATGATTGGTAAAGAATATTTTTTTTTATGTATACGATTGAAAATGTGAACATAACAAAGAATTCATCAAATTTTAAGCTTGTACACAATAAAGAAAACTCTTGTAACAATTTAAATGTCACAAGTTATAAATTAGATTCCATTAAAAATTAAAAATTAAATATTTTCTTTTAAACTTTTGATGATTTTGGATCATTTGTAGGAGTATACTTTAAAGTGTAAATTTGATCCATCATCTTAAAAAGTGAGGAAAGAAGCACCTCTAATTTACTTGAGAACACTTGTTGCCAAAATATGGAGACAAGCAAATAAACACCATTTGATAAGATATGCAGTGAAATGTAGAACACATTTACTTTTTATTAATATATTCAAATGCCTCATTGTGCAGTTAATAGTTAAGTGTGTATTTTAGTAGGAAAACATCTTAACTCTCCCAATACTCTATTACTTAAAAACGTTCCCCTCATCAAAGAAAATTTAATATAAGTAAAAACAAAGCTGTTTTAACTCTAATCCGATTCTAAAATACAAAAGAAATTCCTTGTTATACTATATTTAAATTATACATTTTTAATATTAGGACTTTTCAACCAAAGTGCCCAGCCTCAAAAATGGCTACTTAAAAACCCACCCCTGTTTTCTTTCCTCACTCTTAAAATGGCTACAGTTTTAATTACCATCCAATTCAAAACAAAATTTGAATCTGAAATGTGATTTAATCAACTACAGACCTAGCGACTACTCAATCATGCGCTCGTTAATGAAACCAACTCTTAGGTAAAAAGCGTAAAGTAAGTTATCTAACGCTAGGCTTTCTTACTTCTCTTGTAAGCATTAGTTAGTAGTGTAAGCAAGAAGCATCTACTACTACTTGAGACACCAAGGAATGGAAACAGATGCTCTTATGTAAGCTACAGTCACTCCCTTGCTACTCACCGTTATTACAACTTATACTTGAGTAGAGTAGAATATACTCAAATATACTTGGGTAACGTTTCTCTGATTAAGATGTGTGAGACTTTCAAGTTTACTTCTTGTGTGTTTGTTACTATTAGATTTAGCCCGTACAAAATATAGAACACATATTGGAAATAGCTTTGATATGCATTGTTTGGATATTTAAATTAAATTTTCAAAGTTCTTTTGACCGTGATTTGTAAACTTTTTTAAATGAATAAGAACTCAAAATTAGGTTAAATTGGCATAAATAATCACAATCCACCATTGAGGGCCTGATTTATTATCAATCAAACTCGAAAGGACTTAATAGTGCAACATAAATCAATAACAAAGGTGTTTTCCCCCAACAAGTACTGACATAGAAACTACGGTATGATTTGATCAATTCTAAAGTTGAAGAAAAGATGCCCAAAACATGTATCAAACGTTTGAGTAGCCATGGAGTGAGAAATGAAGGAGGATCATAGACAAAGACAGAGAGAAAGACAGCAGTGACTAGGTGGTAGCACAGTTACCCAGAGTATTGGTACGATAAGTGATACAAACTCCATTGACAAATACTCATCTGTTGTATTATTTAAATACAAAAATATAAAAAAAACTGTTTATGCATGCAGAATCAAGAGAGGGCCGAAAGTGAATCATCATTTTGAAACTCTACGAGTTTAACCCAAGGCTTACATAATTTTGTGTGAATGAGGTTGCTATGTATTTTAAGTCCAAGTCATTAGGTCTACTTTGTTTGTATAAATTACCGCAAGTTCTAGGTAACCATGAGTGGTAGTGGTGGGGGGAGGGAGGGGGGTGCAACTTACTTCAACTGCTGCGGCCAGATGCTGCGGAGGCAGAGCGGCCTGCAAGTGTCCGTTCTTGAGCAGAGGGTCGCAGAGCCCCGCCGGGGGGTACAGGGGCCCCAGAGGAAGACAGGGGCTACTTACGTCCCCGTGTGCAGGTACTGCGTAGTTCCCTTGGATGGTATAAGCTTGACCTCCTGCGAGGATCACGGGTCCAGCAACCGGGGGCTTGGGGCGGTACGGAATGGTCGCACCCTTTGGTGGAGACTGCAAGAAGAAAATGTGAGAGTAAGTCTTTTACGAACCCTTAAAGAATTAAAATAGGTTTCATTACAAAAAAGTTTATTAGATCAAAAAGGATCATGTTTTCCTTTACTGGCGTTAAGTACCTAATTCAGCTTTATAAAACTATCTGTAATGCTAGAGTTACTATTGCTCTTAACGTTATGAAGTTGACAAATCCTCTCCACTGCAGGCTACTCACCCACTGACCGGCTTGGTGCTTGGACGCACACTAATACATCTCCTCACAATAAATAAATATTAATTTAAATTGACCTCCCTGTTTAGTTACCCGTAATCTATCAATATGTCCCTATTTTTAAATCAACTGTCTTGAAAGTACTAGTGTGCATTTTACTTATTCTTGTAACTTTATACTTTTCATGGATGAATTTTTTTGACTAAATGATTTTGACTTTGACTTTCGCATGAACAAAATTAGTTTAGTAGTAAAATAATGAATGAAACAAGTAAAAAAGTTAAAGAGTATTCTGCAGGTATCGATACTTTAGAGATAATTAGTTGCTGAGTATGTTATTTAAAATACACAATTCATGGACACTCCACACTCCAAGATGAACTTAAAAAGGAGTATACAAAGTTTCTACCTACCCTAGAGCGCAGAAAAACCTACCTTCAAAGGTCAGGCTTTTTTTCTTTTTTTTTTACAGAGGGACAGGGTTACAAGTTACCATGGGATTGGATCACAGCTAGAACAGCTTATTGTGCACCCTTGTTCACAGGTCCTCATTCTCCGTCAGGTCAGGTCTAGTGAAAGGGCTAAGTTATCAGTTAAATTACAACTTTGTGACAGACAGTGTTATTATGTGTCACTGCAATTTTTAGGCTGACTATTTAAATACCCCAGATTTTCCTTTCAGCCTCTCTTACCAAGCAGTCAAGGTTTTAAGAGAAAACTTTGTAAAATGACCTCAGTATGATGGAAACTGTCTCCTGACCTGTCTAACTGGGGACTGGCAAATGGTTTAAGGCGTGGGTCAGTCCTAGGTAGACAAAGGGTCAGGATACAGGTTCCACCACACCTACTATAGGAGGAGGTGGTTACCTCAAGCATGACACAACAAATGTGGAAGATGCATTGGGTTATAGCATCGCTAGTTCCCGTGATAGTGACAGCTCTTTCTGTGCTGTTCGGCAACATGTCAGAAGCCACCTGGATGCTGGCTCCAGTCACTTCTCGGATCTCCTTAATCTTGGAACCTCCTTTGCCAATCAGAGAGCCACACTGGGAGGCGGGAACAATCAGTCGCAGAGTGATCGGGGGTCGGGGGCCCCCTCCACCTCCCCCACCATTCTGCAACTCCTGGAACTAGAAAAAGGATAAATGACAAAGGAGAAATGAGAGAAGAAATTATTGCAAAGAATAGAATATTAGTTGGCAGCTAATTGAAATCAAAAAAGTTTTGCGTTGTGAACATGTTCATTTTACAGGAAAAAAATACTTTTCCCACAGTCACCCAACAAAGTTGGCTTCCTTATACTGTTTATAGTACAGAAAGCTGTTAATTGCTGCATATTTATACTTTGCCGTACGGTTTATACTTTGTCGTACGGTTTATACTTTGCCGCACATCAGGATTCCAACGAAACAACACAAAACAGCGTGGTTCTATTATGCACGTAATCCGTGTACGCTTGGAAATAGGTTGGCAACACTTCAAGATAATAATACTATGAGCAGCTGATTGACTATTATAACTACGATTTAACCTGTCATTTTGTGTTTATAGTTTCGGTATTTCTGAACTTTCTGGACTTTTCTTTCAAACGTTTTTAAAACATTCCTACGATCTTAATAAACAAGAAAATACCTTTAAAGTATTTTTTTTTTGGCGCGGAAACCACTTCAAATTACAAAAACACGCGGAACTATATTCTCAAAACGCGGAGCACATTTCTTGCCGAGGAAAAATAGCGGAGTGATACGGACCGCGGGTACTACTTTCTCTAGGGCGCCATTTGTGTTGCCAGCTGAACCTAAAAACGTGTTGTATAGTGTTTGAAAGACAAATTATTTATATGCTTTATAGTGACTGTAGGAAAAATATAATGTGTAACACGAGTGAAAAAGGCCTTTGCTGCACTCGAGATCTTTCCGCACGAGCCGCAGGCTCGTGCGTAAACATTGCTCTCGTGTGCAGCAAAGTGCCACTTTCACCACTAGTTACACAAATAACTATTGTGGGGTGTTTGCAGAGCACAGGGCTTAATATAATGGTTGGCTTGAAGAGGACTTTTTCACCTGAAGAAACTTTTCTGTAGAAAACATTTTTCAAACCGAGACCAATTTTTCAATTCAATAAACTGTTTCAGATCATATTTGCATCTGTAAGTGGTAAGTAAATTGTAGGATTAAAGTTTATTATGATAGCTTCGAACCTACAATAATGACTAATATATGAGTTTAAGTTAGCAGAAAAAGAGCAGCACTCCAAAGAAACAAGTATATCAATTGAATGAAATGAACTCATGGATCATGTTGATTTCATTTATTACATAGTGCATGTTAAATATGTATGTGGTATTGAAATTGCCAAAGAACCAATTGGGATTCCAATAGCATTCCACTGAAACATGTTTCAACCTGCTTATTTTAAACTGCTGACAAGGATTTTTTGTTCACAATAACTTCCAGAAGTTGTACAACAGTAAATGATATAAGACAATCAAACAGTGCTGCAAAATAGATTGAAATACAAAATTAACTATGTATACCTCCTCAAATTTCTTGCAGATGAGAGTAAACGCCTTAAAAATTGCATTTGTGTGTCCAGTAACTGTGACGATTCTCTCTGGGCATGATCCATCAGATATGTTTATTTTGGCTCCAGACTGAAACAAATAATAAAACAAATCAAATAGCTAGAAACAAAAACTAGTAAAGAAGGATCTTAACATCATATATCTTAAGTGCGGCTTCACAAAGCTATTTGCTCGCACATTTTCTTCATTGTTGACACACATCTTCAGCTTCAGTTCTATAAGAGATATTTCAACTTGGGTGATTTTTGCAGAAATTCTAAATTGCTCCCCAATATAGTTCAAATTTAATAAAATTTACCAAACAATGACTCTTGAAGTTTTTTATATTACAGATTTTTTTTCAAACTGTTAGTGACTACACAAGGTAGTTTTCCTTTTTATCCATACAAGAGCAAGTGGGTTCTTTTTAAGCTTGCATTTGCCCATATGTGCCTATGGTTGCTAGGGTGGAATCTAACTAGCGAAGCAAAGGGTGGTATGCAGTAAAGAATTAACTGCAGTGATACATTTGCATAAACTCAAAACATTTCTGTGGATTCATCATCTGTCGCGCTACCAACTGAGCCACCAAATCATCTATAATTTCTTGGCAGTTAGAGAAATGAATATGAGAATTTGTAGAAGACTATAAATGCTGGTGAACGTGCACATTTTGTTTACTAATGCTCAGATTCTTTTAAAATGTTCTTATATATTTAATTCAGGTGAGATTGTCACTGTCTTTAGGAAATGCAATTTTGCGTTTTAATCAATTGAACTAGTTGAATATGGATTTAAAATCACAAATTATTTTACAAAATTGTTCAGTATCACAATTAGAGCTTTGACCAATGTTGAAGCCCTTGGAATATTAGATCAAGGCTCCTAGTATTTTGTATATAGTTGTATAGGCGATATCTACAAAATTTATATTGTAATGTTTTATTTATATTTTATACAACAAACTGTACAGTTACTAGGAACTAGACCATACTGTTTTGAAAATCTTACCTCTTCCCGGAATCTTTTCACAATCTCTCCTTTCTTGCCGATAATGCTTCCAACTTCCTGAAATAGAAAACCAACTGTATTGTTTGTAAAAATACAGATACATGATCAAATCAGTGATGCTTAGCAGTATTGGAGTGCAATAAGAAATGGTGGGTTTTAGCTAATTCCCCATTAAGCTATTACCGTAGGTCTCATGGTAATTGGTAAGACCTAGGCCTACTTAACTTTTTTCGAAAATACCATCCGTTCAGATTCATATAATTATGCATTTTACGCATGATAACTTGCATAAACATCATTCGATTATGATGAAATTTGGTAAAAACATAAACCTACATGTATTCAAGCGAGTTTGTGAACCAGCATGATCGGACTAAGGGAACAACGTTTGTAGGATGAAACAAGGGTTTTCTCATTTTCGACCCCAAAACATAAAATTTTGCTATTTCTGTCCAAACCAGTTTATAGACCTTAGATACAAATAAATAAATTAGTACATCTAAAGCGTTATTGTACGCTAATGGTTACGGAGAAAATTCCAAAAAACCTAATACAAAATGCTCATGTTGTTCTTATGGAGAAGAAATAAACTGTTGTATTTGCTTTTTTTATATTTTGCTTTTTTGATATATTTTTATCAAATTTGGCAAATTTGTTAAATTTATACTAAGCTATTAACAATTCAGTAAAAACACATATTATCACACACCCTGTGGCGGGAAACCTAAGTACTCCTTAAAACTAACGTTATTTAAATAGAAAATGAATCTGTCAATTATGAGGGAATATTCTAGTGAAAATCCATTCAGATAAATAGAGATTTGCTTAGTCTGCAGGTACTGTATACTGTGGTGGGGGTATTCATGTGTGTTTGTTTGGAGATAGTTCATAAACTACAGAAACAACATGACTATTTTTTTTTTTTTTATTAGTGTAGATTATGAATCAGACTTACAGACAAACATGTTTATGACCTTAAAATTTGATATATGACCTGTAATTAAAATGTTGAGTTGGCGCTTTTGGAAATAAATCTAGATTAGCCTTCATGGTAAAAAACTGATAAACCACAATAGATTCATTTATACTATTTACATTTTGATCAAATTATTAATCTAATCTAATCCTGCTTAAGTACTTTAAGTACTAATCCAAAAATAATTTTGAAAGCTATAAGTTATACAATATAATTTTTTTTTATCAAAAGTACGTGAGTGACTGCAAAGCACTTAAGTATACTACTTCGGAGTAGTCAGCATTGGTTAGCATTAACAATAACAAGTAAATTACATTTCAAAAACTGTGATTGTTTTTAAATTTTTTGAACTCCGACTAAAGCTCAGCTGAGATAATCTTCCGAAACGCCAAGACGCAAAACATAATACACTAGGCCAGTCTCAGCCATCACTTCACTAGTTGAACAAAAATAGAAATTAGCGTAGCTGAATTAACTTTTGAGCGAGAGCCAAGGTAAAGCAGATGGCAATAATGAGAATGTGATACATGAAAAATCACAACACAACAATAGCCTGAAGCTTGTTAACAGATTTGGTCATCCTCATGTAAGCTATTGGATCTATTAATAACATAAGAAAACATCAATTTTATTTATCCATTCACTTTGTTTATATATACATGTGTGCACATATTAATTTGTAGCAAATCATAGATGACATACTTTTTTTAACAAAAGGAGCGTTAGGAACCATGATCTTGCAAAGCCAGTTTTTAAACACTTTTAAATTCTCACTGTGGGTTTTTTATTTACTTCTTATTTTTATTTCATGAACAAATATGTCAAAGAAAAGTGATAAATTTATTTGAAAAATTATCAATGTCACACTCGAAATAAAATAATTTACAACAAACACAATCATGAATTTGGCACACAACAACGATCTAGGACATTTTGTAAACCAAAGAAGTTTAAAAGTGAACAAAATTACAAATTGACCAATCGCAATTTCTAAGGATATCCGATTGATAAAGATTTATTCCCTATTTATTCAAAGACTTGTAAACACTATCATGATTTCATATCAACTCTACAAACCGTGTTCATCTAACTATCTCATTTCTCATTTTTATTACTTTTTTGTGTAACATTTTAAGTCAAATATGGTACTATTCAAATACATAATAAATGTGTAAACTTACATGTAAAGATTTTCAAAATTGGATAAATATTTTGCTCTGATAAAAGAATACAAGAAAGCAGAAGAACAATAGATAAGTTTTGTTCAGGCTACAGAGGAATAGACAAAAAGTAATACAGTTGTTTAGATCTTTCAAGACAATAATCAGAAATTAATTTCACAAAAGATCTAACTAAACTGTTATTTCAAAGATTAATTTTCATTTGTATTAAATGAAACATGTTTACCAGGGTCAACCAAAACTGCGAAAATAAACAAGAAATTATATAGCCTAATCAACTTATGTATAACACTAGATGGGGTCAACTAAAGTTATGAGATAATAAAATCAAAAAGTTACTAAATAACTGTTAGTAAATTTCACAAAACATGATACATGTAATATTTATTAAAATACCACGCTGTTTTATGTACTGGTATTCTAATACATTTGTTCCCCCTCATAAAAATGATTCCTATTCCTAATAATGTTTAGTTCTCTTGGCTGTACTTTCAAGACAAAATACAGATAGTCTTTAGCTTATAGAGGGAAGGAGATAATACATAAATGCACCAATTGCAAGTGCACTGTCCTGCCAGAACTAAATATAGCAGTGGGACAGGATAGTTGGCAAGTGATAGCAATCCTGACCATTCCAGTAAATGTTACTGTCAATAATAGTATCTTCTGACTAGTGTTAGACTGAGAGTTCTGACGTATATACAGTAATCTTGTGTATTAAGACAAGTGTTAGACTGAGAGTTCTGACATGTATAAAAAAATCTTGTGTATTGTGACAAGTATTATACTGAGAAGTATTAAACTGAGAATTCTGACACCAAACAATCTGGTGTATTGTGACAAGTATTAGACTGAGAGTTCTGACATGTACCAAACAATCTGGTGTATTGTGATAAGTATTAGACTGAGAGTTCTGACATATACCAAACAATCTGGTGTATTGTGACAAGTATTAGACTGAGAGTTCTGACATGTATCAAACAATCTGGTGTATTGTGACAAGTATTAGACTGAGAGTTCTGACATATACCAAACAATCTGGTGTATTGTGACAAGTATTAGACTGAGAGTTCTGACAGTATCAAACAATCTGGTGTATTGTGACAAGTATTAGACTGAGAGTTCTGACATGTATCAAACAATCTGGTGTATTGTGACAAGTATTAGACTGAGAGTTCTGACATATACCAAACAATCTGGTGTATTGTGACAAGTATTAGACTGAGAGTTCTGACATGTATCAAACAATCTGGTGTATTGTGACAAGTATTAAACTGAGAGTTCTGACATATACCAAACAATCTGGTGTATTGTGACAAGTATTAGACTGAGAGTTCTGACATGTAACTTATTGTGACAAGTATAAGACTGAGAGTTCTGACATATACCAAACAATCTGGTGTATTGTGACAAGTATTAGACTGAGAGTTCTGACATATACAAAACAATCTGGTGTATTGTGACAAGTATTAGAGTGAGAGTTTTGACATGTATCAAACAATCTGGTGTATTGTGACAAGTATTAGACTTTAGACTGAGAGTACTGACATGTATCAAACAATCTGGTGTATTGTGACAATTATTAGACTGAGAGTTCTGACATGTATCAAACAATCTGGTGTATTGTGGCAAGTATTAGAGTGAGAGTTTTGACATGTATCAAACAATCTGGTGTATTGTGACAAGTATTAGAGTGAGACTTTTGAGATATACAAATCAAACTATTTAAAATTGTATCATTATTTTAAATACAGCGATTAATAAGTTCAATATTATTGTTATTAGGGTAGAATAGAGAGACATGATCTGAGTAGCTTTAGTACTAATGAAGATCAGCTGTTTAATTAGGCAGAATAATGTATTTAAAACCCAATCATCAAGTATTGTTGGGACCAGTTTCAATCCATAAATAAGTTAGGCCTACTGACTTTTCTCATAATCAACCCGGTAACTTTATTGGTGTATTGTGTCAAGTGTCATAGTGAGTTTATGTTTTGACATAATATCAAACCAGCTGTTGTTTTTTTCTTGCTACCATTGTATGTGTAAAAGGAATACACAACCAGTAAAATGTTTAAAGAATTATTGTTTTTACAATAAAATATTTGAAAATTTCACTTTAAAAATATACAGGTATCCATAGTAATTTATTAGTTATTATAGCATTGCAAAAAATTAGCTAGTACTTATAGTTAGGCTACCTAAATAGATAGTTCCTATTTATTAACAGTAAACTTTTCTTGATAATCAAGTAATGATAATTGAATTCAAATGGAAATGTTACACATAATTAAAACATAATTTCGTAATAGTTTATGATAAATTCTATGTTTTATATGAATGATCTCTAACAGATAGTGCACAATGTTTTAACAATCGACATTGTTAGCCAACTCATCTGCTAGTACCAGTTAAGAAAAACGCGGTAGCATAAATTAGGTATTAAACATTCCTACTACATATGAATGATATTCATAATATGTGGAGACAAGTGAATCCCCCCCCACAAAGGGAAGCCCCTGACTACAGTATAGTACGTAACTAGAGCTGGCAGCCTAATGCAATAATCCCGTCACTTACAGGGTTTCACGGCAATGTTTACTGGTCCATGCATACCTACACGTGTCTAATTTTTTTGTTTTATATGGACAATATTTTACCATGTAGCATTGTTTGATTAGTTTGTAAAATTTAAGGGGAATGACCAACAGCCCTTTTGGATTTATGAAAATTGTGAGGATTGGGAGTGTAGAGAATTGACAGGAAAGTTTTGCTTCTGTAATTTATGTTTGGAGTTATGACCCCTGATCTGTTGTTATATATTAAATAGGTTGTGCTGCACGTGTATAGTTCTATCAAACCATTGAACTAGCATGAAATAAAATAAAAGGTACGGTATT